CAGTGTAACACCCAGAGTCCTTTACTCAGTATCTGCACCCTTATCCTCTGCAGTGAATACATATACTTATACACATTGTGGAAAGGAGACATGGGACTGCAGAGGATTGTAGCCTTAGAGGACCATCCTTGATTGCTAAGTAAGTTTATCTGCATAGCTTTGCATCTTTAAGAGGATCCTGTCCCATTCATTTGGTGAAATATTTCTTTTGTCATGACCATTCTTTCTCCGAGAGACAGTGTGGTGCAGTGGCCAAAAATGCAGGGCTGGGACTCAGATCTGGGTTCTGGTTCCCACTCAGCCATGGAGCCCACAAGGTGACTCAGGGCCAATCCCAGATTCTCAGGTTGTCACAAAGAAAAGGGCCAGGATCTCCATCATGCACAAACCTAGAATTCTGAGTTCAGCCCTGAATTTTAGATCCAGCCCATGGTTTGTTCTTGGAATAACACAATGATTTATCCCTCAACAACCCAGAACTCTGGACCCACATGTCATGCAGAACCACCTAGGTATATTCCTGAGTTGTTAACCCAAGTGGACATGGGCAGGAAATTAGGGAAAAACAGATGCTCACATGCTCCTGCTGCTCCAAAACAACCCAAGGTTAACAAACCATAAATTGTTTATCACCCAAACAGGGCTATAGCTTGCTCCATCCCAGATGCTGAAGTATCTGACTGCTTGCAACCTATTCTGCCATTTGCATTCTGCCATCCCTTTTTAGTTTATAATGTTCAATTCTATATGTTTTTAGTAATTGTGGTTTTATTATTGTATTTTATACTATTATACTATTTATTTATTTATTTATTTATTTATTTATTAAAACATTTTTATGCCGCCCCATTCGCCGAAGCCTCAGGGCAGCTTACAACAATAAGTATACAACAATAGTATACAATAATAGTATACTATTTTATACTATGTAAGCCATCCTGAGTGCTTGCACGGAAGAATGGGATATAAATGTTTGTAATAAATAATTTAATAATAGTAATAAGAGAGGTGGTGGGCTCTCCCACACTAGACTTTCCAAAAAAAGTGGACAGCCATCTGAGTGGGATGGTGTAACTTGGAGTCCTGCGCTGAGCAGGGGGTTGGACCTGATGGCCTTCATGGCCCCTTGCAACTCTACTATTTTAAGGTTCTAAGCGGATTGCAGAGGAAACTACGTCCTCCCCACAGGGCAGGGGGAATGCCCCTTACCCTCCCAGCAACTCTGTTTTGTGCAGGCATGGTCCCACATTCACCCCCCGGGGTCAGAGGCTAAGAGATCCCCATCCAGGGATCCCAGTGCCCCAACAGATCAGGGGACCTGCCCCAGAGAGTTAGGGTCAACTGCCCCACCATACTCTGGTCTTTCATCTGACTCGCCCACCACCAGCAGTATCTGCTTCTCAGGTGTCAAAATCAGGGGCTCATAAAAATAAAAAAGCACACTTCACCCTGCACAGCACCAGGTCTAGTTTCATTTTCTGCTCTTACTCCAGTTTCCTTTCCATTGCCTAAGAGCGTAAAAAGAGGATCGGAGTAAGGGGCCACCTGTTCCAACATCTGCTTCCTTGCAGTGGCTACCCAGCTGCCCTGAGGAAATCCACAACCATGTTCCCCAGCAGCTCTGCATGGAGGCACCCTTCCTCCCATGAGTCATGAGGACTAGCAATGTGGAGAGACTTCTCCTCCAGATGTCCTCCACTGCCATCTTGAATTCAACAACCACATCCTCTTTTTGCCAGAGGGCTCAAAAGAGGAGGAAGTGGTGAGAGTTCCCTTCCCCTCCTAGCGGCTTAAGCAGAAGAGGCGGCCCATCTCCAAATCCTCTTTGAGCAAAAATAGCTCATGCAGTGGTTTCCTGTTGCAGTAACTGAAGGACTTGGATGCAGTTGATAGTTTGCACTCGGTGGCATTTCTCGTCAAGCCACCGGTGGCCCTGTGAGCCTGTGCAGAAAGATATTTAATTGGGAAGGACTGAGAAGCGATAAATTCACTCTCAGAGCTTGTGGCATGGAGTGGTGGGGGGAGCTTCCCAGAAAGCTCTCAAGGAGCTGCAAAGACTGCAAAGGCAGAACGGAGGAAGAAGCGGAATGTGCATCTTCCACCACATCACGCCAGCTTACACAGCGTCTCACAATTCCCAACATCCCAAGAAAACGGGAAGAAAAAATGCCTCCCACTTTTGCAGGGAAGCTAAGAGGTTGCAAAAAGGCACGTGGAGTCAAAACCCAAAGGCACGCGGAGTCAAAAGCCGTCTAAAAGCTGCTGACCCGTGCAGCTTGCAACAGAGACAGCCTGGCAGGGTTTGATCGCTGCCTAGGAAAGGGTGCCCAGGTTTGGCTGGGGCACTGACTGTTGAGGGGGGGGCGACAGGCAGAGGAGCTGGTAGGATGCAGGCAGGGATGTTGCTCTTGCTGCACCCCCCCCCCCACTGCAAACTCTGGAACACCTCCAGAGGATGTCTGTTGCAAGCCAGAGCAGGGCTCAGACCCGTTCCTAGCCTGCTGGTAGCATCGCAGAGACAGGTGGCCTCCCATCCAGCCTCATCTCCTTGGGGTGCTCACCCTCAACATGGCCGGAGACTTCCGCAGCTGACCAGAACTCCGAGGACAGTCAGTGGTGCTCCTCTCTTGGCTCTTTGCCCAGCCTTGGCCTTGCAACATCCATAGCACTGCTAGGTTTCTTACTAGACTAACTGCAGTTAAAGTTTTGTTCCTCCCGTGCTTTTGCAAGAGGCAAGCTTTAATTGCAAAATTAAGAAGTTATGTAGCACTAGCTTTTTTATTAAACAAATCCCTCCAAACCAGGATAACTTCAACTTAGCTGCTATAATATTCTGCCATAATTTAGTGAATGTTTTTAGTTACTGTTTCGCTTTGTCCTCTGTATAATGCTCTTGGAAGCATATACTTATCATACACATCTTTAGTTTATACCTACAAATGTGACATATGGATTGTTTAGGATCTTGGAACAACACAATCACATCACCTGCATAAAAAACACTTACCTAAATCAGGCTGCCTAAATTTTAGCCCTTTAATATTTTGAGTTTCTCTCATTCTCACAGCTTTATTCTTACAGCAAATACAAGTGAACAGAGCCCAATATCCTTGCTGGGTTCCTTATTAGAGATAAAAATGGTGCCAGTATCATTTATCTCCATTCTTGCTGCTTTTTTTTTAATAAAAAAGATTGTTATAATACAATCATGGAAATATCAATTTTTTATTTTTTAAAAAATTATTCATTTGCTAAAAGGTTAAATAGGTTAAAACAAAAACAAACAAATAGCTATTTCACTCTACCAAAAGCTGAGGACAACTGATTCCAATTTAAAGTCTACACAAAAATCAGTAAGTAAAAGAAACTTGGTATTTTCTATTATGACTATTATGAATAACGCTAGTTGAGTTGGCATCCATTACATTTTTATCCTGCCTTTCCACTAAAGTATGTTCTAGCAATAAAATCCAGATAAAATACAATACCATAATCAAAGCATAAGAACACATCAACTCAGAATAGTAAGGAACAGTGCCTACCAGATTAAAACTTCCACAAATAAGTCTGCTTAAAAGCCAAAAGACTTGTCTTGAGAAAAAAAATGTCTTTGCCAGTCAAAGGTAAACAGAAACAAAAGGTAAAGCACCAGAACAAAACATATACAGTTCAGCTGGGAATCCAATTGGAGGAGACTCATTAAATTTCAAACATTTTGGCGTTGTTCTTTTTAGCCCCTATTGCTATTTATTTATCATATTTCTATCCCAACATACTTCCTGCAAGGAGCTCAAGGTGGTTTACATACACTGCCTTCTCTCAATCTTATCCTCACAACAACCCTGTGAGGTAGGTTGGTCTGAGAGGCAGCAACTGGCCCAAAGTCACCCAGTGGACCTCTGATAAGGGAGCATTCAAGTCCATTTTATCATCTTCAATCAATTCTGACCTATTGAAACTATAAGGGGGAAAACAAGATTATTGTATTTCTTTGTGTACTACCCAATTTACAGAAACATTTACAAACTTGCAAATATGTTAATGGTTTATCTCAGCTAGGTATTTCTTGCTGTATAAGAAGGCTGGCAGCTTGTGGACCTTGGTGACATCTAAGAAAACCTCCACATCAGTTCAGATCTCTGCAAAAAGCAAGCTGTACTTTCCCTGATTGCCAACTGGGGCGGGGGGGGGGGGGGGAGGGAGGGAAGGGAAGGGGGGGGGGGAGAGGGAGAGGGAGTGGGGAAGGGCATGAATGTGACCTACCCACTCTTAGCTATGGTTTGCCCAGCAATGGTCTGAATCCCATCCATGACCATCAGGTGTCCTGGATGGATGATGTTTTGAGGAAAGGCAGTCTTCTACAGAAAAATAGTTGCCCACCCATTTTGTGTAGCATGACTTCTCTGTAGTCCTTTCCACCCTCCAAGTATTTACACAATTGCTTCTGGAATGACTTCTCTTAAGTTTACTAAACCATCTAACTGCATTTTAGTGGTTTCTCTCCTACTCGTATGTGTGTTCTCTGATGCATAGCAAGTTTTGGTACTGACAGATGCTTCTTCACTCCTATAGACCAGGCATGGGAAAGTTGTGACTCAGCAGATATCGCAGTCCAGCCATTTCCATCATCACTGACCATGGGCCATGCTTGCTGGCGTAGACGAGAACTGGAGTCCAACGCCTGAGGAAGCACAGCTTCCCCATCCCCGCTGTATGCATTTCAATGGCTTCTCCCCTGTGTGGATTCTTTGGTGTGTAGTAAGGGCATCTATGCGACTGAAGCTCTTCCCACACTCCAGACATTTAAATGGTTTCTCTCCTGTGTGGATTCTTAGATGAGAAATAAGTTTTCCACTCTGCCGGAAGCTCTTGCCACACTCTAGACATTTAAAAGGTCTCTCCCCTGTGTGGATTCCTTGATGGGAGGTAAGTTGCCTTCTCTGACGGAAGCTCTTTCCACACTCCAGGCATTTATATGGTTTTTCTCCTATATGAACCGTATGAATCCTTGCATGTGAATTAAGGCTTTTACAATCAGTGAAGCCCTTTCCACACTCTAAGCATTTAAATAGTTTCTTCCCTGTGTGAATTCTGAGATGTAAAGTAAGGCTTGAGCTCTGACTGAAGCTCTTTCCACACTCAAGGCAGTGAAATGGTTTCTCTTCTGTATGAATTCTCTGATGTGTAGTAAGATTTGTCCTTTGGTTGAATCTCTTTCCACACTCCAAGCATTTAAATGGTTTTTCCTCTGTATGAATTCTCTGATGAGTTGACAGATGTATCCTCTGAGTGAAGCTTTTTCCACACTCCAGGCAGGCATATGGTTTTTCCTCTGTGTGAATTCTCTGATGAGTAGTAAGGTGTGTCCTCTGACTAAAGCCCTTTCCACATTCCAGGCATTGAAATGGCTTCTCCTCTGTATGAATTCTCTGATGAGTATTAAGGTTTGTTCTCTGATTGAAGCTCTTTCCACACTCTTGACATTTGAACGGTTTCTCCTCTGTGTGAATTCTCTGATGTGTAGTAAGATGGGTTCTCTGACTGAAACTTTTTCCACATTCCAGGCACTTAAATGGTTTCTCCTCTGCATGAATTTTCCGATGAGTGGTAAGATTTGTCCTCTGACTGAAGCTCTTTCCACACTCTGGGCATTTAAAGGGTTTCTCTCCTGTGTGACTCCTTTGATGAGAAGTAAGCTTCCCACTCCGACTGAAACTCTTTCCACACTCTAGGCATTTAAATGTTTTCTCCTTTGCATGAGCTGGATGGGCGATCACGCCTGTGTTCTGAGAAAAGCATTCATATGGTTTCTCACCTGCGTGGGTTTTCCAATGATTTTCAAGGGTTGTTTTACGAGCAAACCTTTTTCCACACACATGACACTCATTCTTTCTCTCTCCTTTGAGTGCAATGCCATTAATCCTCTTGGTACTGGTTTGGTTGCCATTTGCCCTGCCCAGTATGTCTTGATTTCCACTATTCTCTACTATGCCTGGAAATTGATTGGTTTCTTCCAACACTTGATGTCCTTCCCTTCCATTCACTGTCTCCCACACATCCCTCACTGGAAGAGACAGAAAAATGGAATGTGAGGAATGGATTTCAAATCAGAAAACACAGCACACTGACTACCATATAGAGTGTTTGTTTAGTCTCTAAGTTGCACCCGACCCATCGCGACCCCATGGACAACATTCCTCCAGACTCTCCTGTCCTCCACCATCCCCCGGAGCCCACCCAAGCCCACACCCACTGCCCCAGTGACTCCATCTAAGAATCTCAACCTCTGCCACCCCCTGCTCCTTTTGCTGTCAATTGTTCCCAGCATCAGGGTCTTCTCCAGTGAGTTGTTCCTTCTCATTAGGTGGCCAAAGTATTTGAGTTCCATCTTCAGGATCTACCATATAGAGTACCAGAATAATGAAAACCAGCTTGCTGCCAAACAGACTGTATGAAGGCAGATTCTGCCAATAAATATAATCTAAGGCAGTCTTCCCAGCTTGGCACCCTCCAGTTTTCTTGGACACAATTCCCATCGTCCATACTGCACTCTAGAGGTGGCACAAAAAACAATCCTGCTACTGGAGCAAGTAATCTAAGTGCCTTGCTTTCATTGCAAGGAAAGATTACGTTGGAACACAGGTGCCAGTTGCATGATGCAGGGCTGGTTCGGCAGCACCTGGAAAGCTGCACTTTGAGAGAGTATGACCAGTTTCTGGGACAAGCACCATGTGTGACCATGAAAATCTGGTTTGCCTCCACGAGTTTTGCCAACAAGGGGATGGTAGCCAAGCATGAGTCTGGAGGGATCTAAGGATGTTCTACTGTGAATGGAGCTCATTTTCTTTTTTCTCTTAAGTGTCTGCTTGACCATAGATCTATTATACCATGTGCGTTAAATAAAGCACAGTTTGGGGTGAGGAGAAAACAAGAAGTTAGCCTGGGATCCCAGGAGGAATTGTATTCCCAAAGTTTTAAGACCTGGCTGTTTTAATGCAGGTTTTATTATTAGCTAAATTTTAGCTATGCTGTGTTTTAACATTTTGTACTGTTAAACCACCCTGAGACTTCAGTAATGGGATGGTCTATAAAAGTTTTAAATAAATTACATAAGTAACAAATAAATATGGGGCCATGGCTGTATACTGCCACCCTGCCTATTTAACTTATATGCAGAGCACATCATGAGAAAAGCAGGGCTAGAAGAATCACAAGTTGGAAGTAAGATTGCCAGGAGAAATAACAACCTCAGATATGCAGATGATACCACTCTCATGGCAGAAAGTGAAGAGAAACTAAAGAGACTCTTGATGCGGGTGAAGGAGGAGAGCACAAATGTTGGCTTGAAACTGAACAGTAAGAAAACTAAGATCATGGCATCCAGTCCTATAACTTCCTGGCAAATAGATAGGGAAGAAATGGAGGTAATGACAGATTTTATTTTCTTGGGCTCCAAGATCACCACAGAAGGGGACTGCAGCCAAGAAATTAAAACACGCTTGCTCCTTGGAAGGAAAACTATGGCAAATCTAGACAGTATACTAAAAAGCAGAGACATCACCCTGCAGACAAAAGTGTGTATAGTAAAGGCTAAGATTTTCCCAGTTGCAATGTATGGCTGTGAAAGCTGGACCATAAGGAAGGCTGAGCACCGAAGAATTGAGGCCTTTGAATTGTGGTGCTGGAGGAGACCCCTGTGAGTCCCCTGGACTGCAAGGTGATTAAACCGGTCAGTCCTAGAGGAGATCAACCCTGACTGCTCTTTAGAAGGCCAGATACTGAAGAAGAAACTCAAATACTTTGGCCACCTAATGGGAAGGAAGGACGCCCTGGAGAGGACCCTAATGCTAGGAACAATTGACGGCAAAAGAAGAGGATGAGGTGGCTAGATGGAGTCACTGAAGTGTGAGCTTAAGTGGACTCCGGGGGATGGTGGAGAACAGGAAGTCCTGGAGGAGTGTTGTCCATGGGGTCGCGATGGGTGGGACATGACTTCACGACTAGCAACTACAACAACAATGGGGCCATGGATGAGAAGGCTCTGTCCCAAAAGCTTGATCTCACATGGTGATAGGCTAAGAAGCCAATGGATGGCTCCCCCAATGCTCTCCCATCATCCCCAGTGACTGGCTATGCTGTCTGGGTCATATGGGAGCTGTGGTCAAAAGCATTGGCAAATTGCTCAGACCAAAAAGGTAGCAAGTAAAGCTGCGTGTTCCTGATGGGAAACTGGAATCAATAGAATTGTCTAAGTGTGCTTCAAGGGGAGCACTGTCAAAGACACACCGCAGCAATCCAACCTGGATTTCACCGAAGCACATGAGACAGTGGCCAAGAATGCTGAGGAAGGAAGTCCTGGGAGAAGGAAGCAGATGATGGGAGGTCTTCGAATGATGGCTGGACCTCCCATCTGTCATAGGTTGTGAAAATCCACCAGCCCTCTAGGAGATCTTTATAGGCAAGGACCTACCGGAAAACCGGTCCTGGACAGGCAGGCCTTCGTCTTCTTCAAGCCCAGGCAGGAGGTCAGATTCTGAGATCAGGGAGCCTTCTTTATGGAATAATAGGACACAAGTATTATTTGTGGTCAGTAATGTAAATTCCATGCAAAATTTTGAATTAGAAAAATTCCCCATGCAGATCAGGGGAGAAAAAAGCAACCGTTTGAGCTCGAAGATCATTTTAGCATGTTTGCTAAATGCAAATAAAAGAAACTCTAAAGCTAAAAGATTGCCTCACTTTTTCCCCAACAGATCACATGTATCTGACCTGAAATATTTGAAGTGTGTGTGTGGGGTGGTGGAAGGGGGGCAATTAAAGCATACCTGATACAATTTTAAAGTGACATTACCTAGACCAGTGATGGAGAACCTACGGCACCCGTGCCCAAAGGGGCACACAGAGTCCTCTCTGTCAGCACGCAATCGCCCCAGCAGCCATGCACATATTCGGAAAGATGAAGGGCACCAGGCAATGATGTCACTCATTAGCCAAGACTCCCTGAGCTTTCGCATGGCCGGTCAGTGAACTGCCAGGCATTTTTGATTTTAGCAGGATGCCGGTGGTGCAGTGGTTTAAACTGCTGTGCTGCTGGGCTGGCTGATCGAAAGGTCGCCGGTTCAAGTCTGCACAACCCGTTGTGATTTTAGCAGAAGGTAGGAAATACACTCAGATGTGTCTTTCGGGGTCGGCCAAAAGCTGGTGGTCAGTGGAACGTTGCCCCCTTGTGCAGGTGGTCAGCAAATTCAGATTTTATCGCAGTGCTGGCACTTTGCGATGAAAAAGTGGGTTCTGAGTTGCACTTTGGGCACTCGGCCTCTAAAAGGTTTGCCATCGTTGACCTAGACAGCGTCACTAGACTACTTTGTGAAACTTTAGCAAGAGAAGAACACATTTCCCTTACATTATTCAAGAAACAGTGACACTTACAATTTTGGACATATTAAATCAGCTTTCTGAAGCCTTGTGCAGAATGGCTGGCTGGGGATGCTGGGAATTGTAGTCCAACACATCGCAAAGGCACCAGGCTGGAGAAAGCTACGCTAAATTGAAGCTAGTGACCCAAACAGTTTTGATGGATTCAAGAATGCCAAATATTGTACTTGCAAATAATATCCGTTCGTCGCTGTGAAGAAATTTACGAAATGGAACCGTTTTTGTAGAAAAGTAAAGCTCCAGAACTACTCCAATGTTACCAATACATGTTGAACCACATGGTCTCATTTCCTCACCCAAAGGGCAAATGGAAAGAAGGCAAAATGTATGGATGCAAATGTTTGGATGCAAATGTATAGATGAGGAAAGCATGGGATTGATCTGGGATCATCCATCAGGGGCCCAGTCCTTGCACAACTAGCACTAAAATCCCATGTGGAAAATTGTGCAAATTCCAGCCCAGCCAGAGGGAAGCAACGCTGGAAAGCACGGTTTAGTCAGACAGGCTCCCAGCCACAAATTTACTCTCCAGAAACATCTGTACAAGTGGTAAAAAAAAATGGGAATAGACATCTTTCAACGTGAAAGAGGAAGTGGGGAAAAGGGGATTTTTACCCAAAGCAACCAGGTTCCCATAATTCTCAGCCATGACTTCCCCATGCAAAGCCTTCTGGCCCGGATCCAGCAGCGCCCACTCCTCCTGTGTAAAGCTCACAGCCACATCCTCAAAGGTCACCAGGCCCTGAAAGGAGGAGAGAAAACCTGTTTTCTCTTCATAGACAAAGTCCTAGCCTAAAAGGCCAACAAAGCTGAGCTGCTGGGCTCCAACACTTCCGCAGTGCCATGCAAAGTTTTCCCAGGGGAAATAAGGGAACAAAACTCTTCTGGACTCAGCAGGAAGCATTGGCACCCAGGCTGTACCCTGCGTATCCCTCTAAGCGGGAACCCCTTTCAGGCCAAGGGCTGAATTTAATTTTGGGGACCCTGTTGGAGGACTGCATTCCAGAAAGGGGGATATGGCTATCCAAGGAACCTCGGACAGCCCAGGTCGAATTCCAGTCCTGAGCCTTCCATCTCTGTTCCAGTCCTTCGCCTACCTGATCTGTCTGTGCAGCGACAAAGTCCGTTCTGCCAAGAGAAAGCCTGGAAGGGAACATTGGGGCAATCCCGCCACCTATGAGTGAGGGGAGAGAGAAGACTGATTTACAGTGGCACCTTGGCTCACAAACTTAATCAGTTCCAGGACTCTGGCCGTGACCCAACTTGGTCATGAGCCAAGTCAAATTTCCCCATAAGGTTCAATGTAAATAAGGTTAATTCGTTCTGTAATTATTTTTTTAATCAGAAAAATCTGAAGCAAAGTGACAAGGAACAACAAAGATTGCGGCCATTTCCCCACCCGCATCCCGAGCACCTCCATCTGCCCCCCCACCAGCACAACCACGATCGTGCCTGTCATCCCTGCATGCACCCGTCATCCCGGCGTGCTCAGGGGGCAGTGGGGAGAGACAGGCACCATCATGGGTGCATTTGGGGGGGAGAGATGGGTGCAATCGTACTGGGGGGGGATGGTCGAGATCCCAGTTACGTTCGTGCAGGAAAGACAGGTGCGATCTCGGCCATCTCCCCACCTTCACGATTGCGGCCATCTCCCCACCCACCCCCTCCCCAAGCACAACCGCGATCGCACCTGTCTTCCCTGCATGAGTGCGCCCGCCCTACTCAGGGCAGCGGGGAGATGGCTGTGATTGCGGTCACCACCCAATGTGAAGTTCATGACCCGAGTCAAAATTTGTATGAAATTTTTGTTCACGACCCGATTTGGTCGTGAACTGAGGCGTTCATGAGCCCAGGTACCACTGTATTTATTTACATGTATTTATAGGCTGCCTCTAATTGCTGAGGCCTTCCTAGGTGGCCTGTAAGATCTTTATTTTCAACAGGCATATTTTAGTCCTGGAACAGAAATGCAATCCATCTCCTACACTGCTTTTGGACACAAAGTGCTAAGACCATGTCTTTGAAACAGACCTTCACTGGAAAATGTGCAACAGGCTAAGTCTCTTCCACTGGGCCATAGACAGGGAGGAAACAGAAGGGAAAAGCGGGCACTGAGCGGGCTGAGAAGCCACAAGAACAACAGGAAGGTCCCCCCTGAAATGTGGGCCCAGGCCAGTGCCCCACAATGCCAACTTCTGGCCTTTCCCCCAAAGGAACAAGAGAAACATAGAAGCAGAGGGTAGCTTTCAGGGGTATCCCAAGGCAAGATGAAATGCACCCGATCAAACCTGACCCAGCAAGACAGTTCCTCCATCACCCTCTTGCACAATCCACCGGAAAAACGGCTTCCGCATGCTGCCCAACAGAGCTTCTTCTGTCACAGGGGAAGGCACGGCTGCCTGGGCGACTGTCTGCTGCACCTGCAACAGGTGAGAAAAGCCCAGAAGAGACAGCAAATGAGCGGGTGGGGGGAATGTTATTTTTCCTTTCTGATTTTTTAGTCTATGACGTTCAGTTTTAGATGTTTTAATAAGCGTGGTTTTATTATTGTGCTTTCAGAATTTTACACTATGTAAGGCATCCTGAGCGCTTGTCTGGAAGAACGAGATACAAATGCTTGGAATAAGCAAACAAAATAAATAAATAAATAAAGATGAGGATGAGGATGAGGCAGGAAAGCTGAAGGACAGCATTTTTCCAGTACTCCCAAGTCTATGCCTCCTTCTGAACTGGGCCTCTTGTACACTCTCACTCCAGAGACCTGGGACATATGGACATCAGGATATGTGGACTTAAAGCCAACTTCCCATGGTGGCACAAGAAGTGGACCAAAAGCATGGTTGCTTCTTGGCGCAGGGCTCAGTTTCCATGCAGAAGATCCTGGGTTCCACCTCTACCACCTCCAGAAGACACGGAAAAATCCCAGTCTGCACCCCCAAGAGTGACTGAGACCAGTCAAGAGCTGAAATCCTGGGCTGGGTGGAGGAAAGACCATCTCGGTGTGAGCTCAGCTTTCACAGGCAGGCTGAACCCCAGATTTGTCCTTCAGGAATCCCCCGTCTGCCTCCACAGCACGGCCCTCCATCTGCAGGGCCATCCCTCTGTGCATCATCCTTTCCTGATGGCCTAGCTCAGCTGCCGGGACCAAATTCTATTTAGATCATCTGGATTTATGTATGTGCATTGCCCAGACAGCTATGGCTGTGGGGGCAGTGTGGACATGACATTAATAATCATAATAATGAATTCTCTCCCCAGAGAGGTTCGCCTGGTGCCGTCACTTTGTCCTTTTCAGCTCCAGGCTAAAAACTTATCTTCCCAATGTTTTAAGACTTGATTGTTTTAATATGGGGTTTTAGTGTTGATTGGAAAAGTTTTACTAGGATGCTGTGTTTTATTCTATTTTGTTTTCTTGTTAAAACACCCAAGACCACAATAAGGGACAGCCTTTAAAAGTTTTAAATAAATAAACAATTCAGATTATTACTATCATCATCATACAGGAAGGTGCTTCATAAAGATCTCTCCAGACTGGAAGAACGGGCACCCAAGAGCAAATTGGGTTTCATGTGAGCCGAAAGAAAGGAATTCTTACTTTGGATTCTGGGTGCTTTGATCTAAGGAAGTGCTGAGTTTGGCAAAAAGTGGGGCATATAATTCTGGCTTCAAGGACAGGCCGGTAAGATCTGGGTGAGCAGCGAGTGATCGAGAAAGGTATCTTGTGGGGTGGGAGTGGAGGAGGCAGCGCCATGAAAATGCCAGCCCAGTGCACGACGGCTGTGAAAAAGCAACATCTCTAACTGTTTAGCCTGGACTAAACAGAATGCTGGACTAGAAGCAGACAGATCCTTCTTCAGGTCAAGCATCAGGGCAATTCCTGCAGCCATCTTACAGGAACTCGGAAAAGAGCCTTCTCTGCCGTGGCCCCCACCTTATGAAAAGAACTCCGCCTGGTATTCAGGAAGTGCAACTGTAGATACTCCAGATGCCAATCAATGCCGTCTCTCTTCACCCAGGGCTTCCCTGGCTGACTGCGCTACCCAGCTTAATCATGGCATTCTGAGGATCAGTTTTAATCCATACTTATTATAAATGATTTAGCAATTCATTTATTATAACGACAACTAGCAGGGACTTTATCTGCCCCTTGGCGTTCTCAAGATGAAGTTCTCTCTTACCTGCAAGCTTTTCTGCTTTCCACCCTCTGCCTGGCTCAGGAGGAACCCTTCCGCCAGGGCCACCGCTTGAGAACTGGTCTCCGGCCCACATTCCCTGACCCAGTTCTCCATCTCCGGAGGCAGGACAGTCAGAAACTGCTCCAGGATCACCAGGTCAAGCACCTGAGCTTTTGTGTGCCTGTCAGGCTTCAGCCACTGGCAGCAAAGGTGGTAGAGATGGCTGCAGAGCTCCCGCGGCCCCTTGGCCTCCTGGTAGCTGAAGGCCCTGAAGCTCTGGCGCTCTGCATCTGCACTGCCTCCGTCCAGGTTCTCGCTCCTCTTCCACCGCTCTACATAGGCCCCTTCCTGGATTCCATGAGGCCTCTCTCCGGCCTCTTGGCCAACCAGGTTTTGCCCTTCTGCTTTCGCCGTCTTCTCCTCCATCAGGTTCAGAAGGCTGTCCTTGATGGCTGCCAGGTTCTTTTTGAACTGAACCACCTGAATCTGGAGGGCAGAGTGAAACACACTTTATCACGGTTGCAGGCACTGACTTCACATGCTGTGCGCAAGAAGAAACCTTAGAGAAGTTCCATCATCTGCACAGTGTCTGGACTCCCCACCACTACCGCAAGGCTAGGAGGGATGGTAGGCCTGCAGGCAGGAAAGGGGGTGCTGGTTACGGAACCAAAGTTTTAAAACCCTATGAGACATCATCTCCACAATGCAGTGCGAAGATTTTGAATACAATAGAGTTCACTTTACAAGTATCACTCTACAAGTGCCTCAAAGGCTGTCAGAAAGAGGAAGGTCATGACTTCTTGCTGATATCAGAGTGCAGGACATGGAATAAACTATTCAAGCTGCGACAAACCAGATTCAGGCTGGACATCAGGAAAAGCTTCCTCACTGTCAGAGCAATACAGCAGTGGAACCATCTGCCTGGAGAGGCGGTAGGTTCCCCACAGTAGAGTCCTTCAAAAAGAAACTGGACAGTCATCTGAGTGGGATGGTGTAAACTGGTGTCCTGCAATAGCAGGGGTTGAACTGGATGGCCTTCATGTCCCCTTCCAATTCTACTATTCTATGATTCTATGAACAGCAGAATGAAGCCAGCTTTCCCAACCTGGAACCCTCCCAATGGCTGGCTGGGGGGAAGATGGGATGTGTAGTCTGCCACAGATGGAAGACACCGGGTGGCAGGAAGGCCTTACCAAGGGGGAGAGTCACAGCCTCGAAAGTGTGAGGTTCCTTTCCTTTCTTCTCCAAATCTTCCAGGAACCCGAGAGGGGCTTTTCATTTATTATACTTGTACCCCTCTCCCCACCCCACCCTCCTCAAGCAAGGCGCGACCCCACGGTCTGGCCGGGGGCACCCCAGGGCTCCATGGCAGGCGCGGAGAGCGCGGATCTCCCCGGTGCACCGTCCAGCCGCCACGCCACAGCTTGGAAAAGGGGCGATCGGCCGGGGAGGGACTCCCAGCCCCGCAGACGGGAGGCCGGCGGCGCGGAGCAGCCCGCGGGACGGGACGGAGCCGGAGCGACCGGCTCGCCGGGGCGGGTTCCCGGGTCTCCCTCCCCGCCGCCCCAGCCCGCTCTCACGATCAGGACACCCCGATCCGCCCCCCCACGGACTGCCCCGCGGGGCCACGCGCGCGCCCGCGCCCACGCGCACGAGCCGCGCCCGTGGGAAAATCGCGAGCGCCTTTCCCAGGCAGGGCGCGCGGAGGGCAGGAAGGGAGCGGCCCATTCGCAAGACCGCCCCTCGGCCGCCTCTCTAGGCCTCCGACTCGCTGCCCTTAACCCTCGCGTGGGATTCTCCGGGAAGACCCCGCCCCCGAGGACGAAACCTCGCCCCGCGCTCCCGGCCGCGGGGTCTCCTCTCCCTGCGCCCGGCCGGAGGGAGCGGGATTGTCCGGCAGCGAAGACGGACTCCTCTAGCGGAGCTCTGGACGGGTCCGACTACAGATCCCATCTGGAACGAAGCCGACCCTTCCCCCCAGCCTAGCACCCCGACGTGTTAGCCCGCTGGCGGCGGGGGATGGGGTTTGTAGTCCAACACGGCTGGGGTCACCCGGGCGCACGGAGGCGTTGCAGAGGCGAAAGCCACTCGTGCGTTTTGGGAGAGCCTCCTTTCCTCCCCAGATCCCTGGGCAATTGGGAGGGGATCCCCGTGTGTGGAAGCGGGCCGGGGGCTGGGGGATGCTGGCTCGGCACAAGGGGAGTTGGAGGAGCGATGCGGGGGGGGGGGGGGCGCCCGCGGCCCCTCCCTGGCTGATTGCAAGAGGGGCGGCCAGCGAGAGCGCGCTGCGCCCCCAGCAGGGCGCGCAGGGCGAATGGCATCGCCCGAACTCTGCTGTTGACCCAGGGTACGCAGCCCTTTGAATTGTGGTGCTGGAGGAGACTCCTGCGAGTCCCTTGGACTGCAAGGCGATCAAACCGGTCAGTCCTAGAGGAGATCAACCCTGACTGCCCTTTAGAAGGCCAGATTCTGAAGATGAAACTCAAATACTTTGGCCACCTAATGAGAAGGAAGGACTCCCTGGAGAAGAGCCTAATGCTGAGAACAACTGAGGGCAAAAGAAGAAGGGGAGGGCAGAGGATGAGGTGGCTGGATGGAGTCACTGAAGCAGTCGGTGTGAGCTTGGGTGGACTCCGGGGGATGGTGGGGGACAGGAGAGCCTGGAGGAATGTTGTCCATGGGGTCGTGATGGGTTGGACACAACTTTGTGACTAGCAACAACAACGGCAGCCATGGAAAAGGCAGACTCCATGAAAACTGGAAAGGAATGGGAAAGAAACCTGACAAAATCATAGCTATTAATATATTTCTGTATGGCCCAATAGCCTAAGCCCCTGCCAAAATAAAACTGCCGGTGTTCTACCGCCCATATTCAAATCGACGATGCAACTTGCAATCGGACAATTAATTTCTGGACTCCTGAGAAAGGACATTCTGAAGATGACAAAAGGGCAGAGAAGGGTGGCTAAAATTACAAAGGGGTTAGAGCAGGGGTCCTCAAACTTTTTAAACAGGGGGCCAGTTCACTGTACCTCAGGCTGTTGTGGGGCCGGACTACAGTATGAAAAAATATGAACAAATTCCTATGCACACTGTGCATTAAAATTAATTAAATTGAAATAAATTTAAAAATTAAGTAAAATGAACTAAATTTAAAAATTAATTAACAGTTAGAAATAATTTAAAAAGTTTGCTCTGCTTGCTTGGGCTGCAGCAGAAGCCCAAGATGAGGTGGGGTAGAGCATGTCCATATTCAAGGGACATAGCTGCATTGTTGCAATGCTGGGAGGGAGGGAGAGACGGGCACGATCGTGCTGGGGGGGATGATGCTCGTGCAGGGAAGGGGGGCGTGATCGCAGCCATCTCCCCCCCCACCCCCAAGCATGACCCAATCGCGCCCACCTTCCTACTGAGTATTCCTGCACTATCTCAGAGCTTTTGGACTCACTCCCAGATTGTTTTCTCCGAGTGATTCCAAAAGCTCTGAGGCGAGCTGGATCCATGGGTTAGAGTGACTCCGCTCTGAGGGTAGTTTACTACAGCTGAAATCATTTAGCTTAAGGAAGAGGTGAGTAAGGGGAGATATGGTTGAGATGCACAGAATTATGTCCTGAATGGAGACATTCTCTCTCTCCATCCCATAATACTAGCACCCAAGTGGGTCATCCTATGGGAGATTTAAGCGGCTTTTTAAATGTTAATATTATTGAATTTTATCTGGCCAGGGTGGCTTATTTTATATTGTATGTTTGTATTTTATTCTAATGTTTACATTTTTAATTTATGATTATAATTATTTAATTTATTGTTGTAAGCCGCCCCAAGGCTTCGGCGAATGGGGCGGCATAAAAATGTTTTAATAAATAATAAATAAAAATAAATAAATTCGGGCCAGATAAAACTAATCCTACTTCTTACCCTCTGTGGCCACACTATGGAGTTAGTTTCCACAAGATATAGCAATGGCTGCCAACTTGGATGGTTCTAAAAGGCGATTGGACAACTTCATGGAGGAAGTTGGGCAGCTCCCCGTCCCGGTGGCTTCATGCCACATTCCTCTGGTATCAGAGGCAGTATGCCCATGCACTCCAGTTGCTGGGGAACATGGGCAAGGGGGTGTTCATATCCTGCTCGTGGGATCTGCCTCTCACCACCCAGAATGTCCCCCAGAGCACCCCAGCCACTGGGTTCAAACGGATGTCCCAGTGTCTCAATCCCCCTGGCAAAATGCCAAGTGACAGGCTGGAGCATGGAGCTGAAAGCAAGCGAATTGAATTCAATAGGGAGAAACGCATGAAAGGCCCCCTTTGTGTTCTGGTGCAATGGGCAAGGCAGAAAAATGACTCTTGCGCACATGTAGCCACGCATCACTTCTGCTGCATTTCCTCTTGTTAGGCCTGACTCCCCAGGCTCCTGACATAGTGGAAATATCTCAGCTTTCTCAGGGCATTCAGGATAGGCTTAGCTCCCCTAAGCTCTAGCCCATTCAAAATGTCTAGCAGCTGTCTCAGAAAATTTCCCTCGGAAAATGGAAAGAGCTTACCTACGACGTAATGGGCAAAGATTGCCTAAAAGATGTAAATTAAAAGATAAAACTTACTGCTAACCAAATCTGCTTGCTTAACTGCTGCTATGTGATTTTGTAACTTCCCGTTGTCGCCATTGTTCTCATTCTTGTCAAAAACTGATTGTATTGTTCCCCATTTGCCGAAAGCTGACTGTGAAGGTATAAAAATCTCGTTCCAACTCTGTTAGGGGCTGCATTCCCCCACGAATGTGGTCCCTGCGCAGGAATAAACCTCCTCTCTAACTTTACCATCCGGTCTCTGGTCTCATCTGTAAAACCACAGGGTACAACACCTCTGACACTTCTTTTTGAGAAGTTGCGCAGGCTGTGTGAGCAGTTTCTCACTGAACGGGGTACCAACTGAAGTGCAAAAGAATCCAGGGCACCGATGATGATGATGGGTTGCAGATCAATGGATCGTGACAACAGCAGCAAAAATAACACACACACACGAAGAGCATTTCAGAACAAAACACAACACAATTACTCCATTTGGAGACTGGGGAGCAGGTGTCTTGTCTGGCCCTCAGCACACAACCCCTGCATGGCAAATTGAGCTGCCTCGGTGCCAAAAGCAGGCCTGCAGCCCCATTAAAATGACCCCCATGATGCAGTGGATCGGGGCTGGTTCCCGACTCCCCTCTGAGCGGAGTGGAGGAAGCTGCCGCAGCTGCTTGGGGGCTCTGCAAGTGAGCCAGCGAAAGGGGATTTTTTTATTTTATTTATTAAAACATTTTTATGCCGCCCCATTCGCCGAAGCCTCGGGGCGGCTTACAACAATAAATAAAACCAATAAGTTAAAATATACATATAAAATAATCATAATAATTTAAAACACACAATATAAAATAAGCTGCCCTGGCCAGGGATGAGGCATGGGTCTTCAAAGTAAGGCCCGCGGGCTGGATCCAGCCTAGCATGCACATTTAACCGGCCCACCCCACAGGTTCTGCACTCCCCGGGCGCGCGGCTTGCTTGTGAGGAGATGGTTATGGACTGATCGGAGAAAATGATCTTGCAAGCAAGCCGGCACCTCGCCATGTGCATGCCTGGCAGTGGCTTGCTCGTGAGGAGGTCATTTTGGACTTGATCTCCTCATGAGCAAGCCGGCGCCTCGCCCCCATGCCCTCCCCATCCCCACCTCACCTTTATTTATTTATTTATTTATTTATTTATTTATTTATTTATTTATTTATTAAAACATTTCTATGCCGCCCCTTGCCGAAGCCTCGGGGTGGCTCACAGCATAGAATAAAATACACAATAAATTAAGACAATAGCAATTAAAATATATACATTAGAATAAAAGAAGCCACCCTGGCCAAATAAAATTCAATAGTATTAACATTTTATTATTATTATTATTATTATTATAACATTTCTATGCCGCCCCTTGCCGAAACCGCGGGGCGGCTTACAACACGATAAAATACATTGAAATACAATAGCACATAATAAATTACCATTAAATACAAAAATACAAAAAATACATTGATTTACAAATATAAGATTAAAATTATCAGTATAAATTAAGTAAATAAAAATATAGGAGGAGAAAGAGAAGGAAGAAGAAGTTGCCCTGGCCAGATCATATGTTTTAACAATTAAAATGATGTTTAAATAAAAAGGTCTTTACCTGGCGCTGAAAAACCAGTAACGACGGTGCCAGGTGGACCTCTTTGGGGAGTGAATTCCATAGGTTGGGTGCCACTGCAGAGAAAGCCCTCCTCCGAGTACTTACTCTCCTAATTTCTTTCATGGAGGGTTCCCGGAGAAGGGACTCTCCC